CCCTGTTCTCACTGGCCACTGTCAGTGAATTGGATCAGAAAAACACGTGAGAGTAACCTTCCATTTCTCACTACAGTGATTTCCTGTGCCCTGATGGTGAAACCCTGTTTTATGAATTGCTCACCATTTCACCTGTTGATTTTTATGGCTTTTTCTTTCTTTTCCTTTAGGAAAGTAGGATCTTTAAGAAAAATACTTATCTCTAATACATTTGGGAATTACAGTGGCACAGAGAAATTTATATATTACCAAGTAATTGTTATATGACTGGAAATTCAAAGAAAAATTAAACTCTGCTGCTGTGTTTTATTTCTGAGATCTCTTAGCTTTATTTTGTTTGGTTAGGATTCTGCTCATGGCCCAAATTAGGATTTTGAATCCTCTGTTGGTCAGTTTGTGACTATGTCTGATGGTAAAAGAAATCCATCAAGCTAGTGCAGATGCTTTCATATATAAATCAATTCCCATTAGTATTTTAAATAAATTTTTAAGTTTATCAGCAGAGTATGGTGCTTGTGTTTAAGTAATTATGCGTTATTAAGTTGCTAATTCAATCTTTAGTACTATCCAAGGTTTCTATTCAAAATAACAATGTAAAATAAAAATTTTAGCTTTTCCTAATGAAATGAAGCAAATGTATTTGTTAAATAAAACCTCTTTTTTCTCCCTTGACCCTATTTTTTTCTTCCCTTCTCCTTTTTAATTTCTTTGTGATTAAATTCCCAAAGTTTTAAATTGCAGTAGAATTTTGTTACTTTTTCATATTTTTATAACACTGTGTTTTTAGACATTTAAATAATTTTATTATTAATGAGTATACAGAGACGTATAGTCAATAATTTTTATTCCTTTCTAGAAGAAATGGCAACATATCTTCGTTATGTAAGAAGGCTAGATTTTTTTGAAAAACCAGACTATGACTACCTAAGAAAGCTTTTTACTGACTTGTTTGATCGAAAAGGATATATGTTTGATTATGAGTATGACTGGATTGGTAAACAGTTGGTGAGTACTCTGTGCTATATAATGAAAGATTATTTGTAGTACTTTTTTTCCCATAGTACAGCTTCTTCAGTGAAGAGTTGAAGACAAATAATTTTTTTAAAGGATTCATTTTATTTCATCTTCCTGGGCATTTTAGGCAGCATAATACTAAAATTATTCTTTGAATTTTATAAAAACCCCACATTTGGACCCCCCCAGTTTTTGAAGTAATGTGTTATTTTCAACTTTTCATTCCTGATTTATTTCTTACTATCAAATATAATTATTTTTGGGGCACCTGGGTGGCTCAGTTGGTTAGGCGACTGCCTTCGGCTCAGGTCATGATCCTGGAGTCCCGGGATCGAGTCCCATATCGGGCTTCCTGCTCAGCGGGGAGTCTGCTTCTCCCTCTGACCCTCCCCCCTCTTATGCTCTCTCTCTGTCTCCCTCTCATGCTCTCAATCTGTATCTCATTCTCTCTCAAATAAATAAAATCTTTAAAAAAAATTATTATTTTTTTGTATAATATCCTGTTACTTTAAAAGATCAGTTAGTCTTGTGTTTTATTTCAGCCATTTCTCAAAACATTTGTAAAATAAAATTATAGGTTTTAATTATACTAGTAGTTTTAGGTTATGTCTTGAATAGACTGGTACTTAAAAATTGGAGCATGTTTTGGGTTTTTAAAACTGTTCTAAGTTTTTGTAACTTAAAAAATTAGTCTTGACTATAACTGTAGAATTGGTGCTCGTCACTTAAAGGGACACATCATGAAATTCTTTGAAGAGACAACTTTTAAAATATTTATTCTCACTATTTTTTTTTTTAATAAGTTAGAATGTCTTACAAAACTTTCTTTAATTGTGACCTGCTGTTGGTGAATTTTTGTCCATATTTGGAACTACCAAACTCAGATTCATGTATTTTTGAACAACTGACTTATTTCAATGTTTAATCTGTATTTTTCTTAGGTCCAAAGTGAATTGACTATATAAGTCTCTCCTGAGTCAAAATATTGACAATAAGCCATTTTATTAGCTTATTTTAAAAATCATTTCCTTATTTTCTTAAAATGATTTATTCTGTTTATACATTAGCTTTGAAAATGAGAGACATAAATAAATACACTTTCATTTTTCTGATATGAAAAAATAACCTGAAAGTAAAGACTCCATTAGAAAGTCTTTTATTGAAAGTGAATGCTTGATAAAGTCTTTAAACATTTTTGAAAATAATGTAAAAAAGTAGCTATGTTCTCTTGTTTTAACTTATTTTTAGTGACATATTTCAAGAATGATATCATTTTGTAAGGCTTTACTTTAAGTGTCTTTTATTATTTCCTTGATTCCATGAAGCAGCTAAGTAATTTTGAATACGACTTCTGAAATAGAATGTATTGATGCTAATTCTTGTACCGTAGCCTACTCCAGTGGGTGCAGTTCAGCAAGATCCTGCTCTGTCATCAAACAGAGAAGCACATCAACACAGAGATAAGATGCAACAATCCAAAAACCAGGTTTGCTGCCCTTTCAGATATGAAAGGTCTTGATTTGCTTCTGTATTACTTTCTGACAGTTTACAAATCAATTTGGTTTTTTACCATGCCCAGATGATAGGTTTACAGGTGTGCCTATGTGTATGTGTGTGTGGGAGCACATATTTACACATGTAGATAGATTTTGAAGGATTGAAATACATTTTTTTCTTCAATAGATAAAACAGATGATATACACATGCTTATCAAGGATCGAGAATGCATAGATTTCCAACAAATAAACCATTTCCCCCTCATGTTCACTCTTTACTAGTTTAAAAATCACATGAAAATGTTTAATGATAAATTTTTAATTAGTGGTATAAATTAGTGTAAACTTTGAGCAATATTTGATACTTGTAGAGTGCAAGTGTTTGGGTATCTTGTTGGAATAAATTATAATAGCAGTTGATCTTTCTAACTGCAGTCTAATTTAGCTCAATAAATAATTTGCTGGGTTTCTGCCCTCTGAAAGCTACTATTCTGCATGTTGCAGAAATGCACAAGTAAGGAAAACAACATAACCTGTAAGAAACTATTTTGTAATGAGTGGCTAAGAGCTCACTCAGTCTCTGGAATCAGACATACCTGGATATGACTTGATCTTGGACAAATTACTCTTATCTTTCAAAGCCTTAGTTCTCTCATCTGCGAAACAGAAATAATGCTTGTTAATTCCTATAAGCATTCAGTAAATCTCAACTCTCATGGCTGGTGTTATTGTTATGATGATTACTACAATAAACTCACAAGTAACTATATTACCAAACAGTGTAACCTCTGTCACATGAAATATATTAATAAGGTGCCATGGAAGATCATTGGAATATGGGGGATCTGGAAAGATTTTATGCAGAAGGTGGCTTTTGAGTTGAGCCTGAAGAATGAATGGAATTTTTTAAAGGCAGATGAAAGAATAAGGGCATTTTGGGGAGGGTGAACAGTGTAAAATAGGAAGCAGAAGTTTAAAAATGTAGTTTGAGGAATAGTGAGCATTGCAGTTTGCTTTGAGCAGAGAGTAGGTTCTATGCAGAGAGTAGGCATAGCAGATAAATAGAGAGTGAAGAATTTGTATTTCCTGGGTAAGGTAATTGAAAGCTGTTGAAATTTTTGAGTGATGTTCTTGCTTTTCTCTTTTTTGTAAAAAGCAGCTTGATTTAATCCATCTTTGACATAAAACATTTTGCTAATTGGAAGTTAAATAGCATCTTTAGAATTTTCAGTTATAACCCTTTCTGGGAAAGGATAATGTGCTATCCTTTCTTACTCATATCTTTTATCCCATCGGAGTTCCAGTGAGTTAAACAAGAGATGAAAATCAAAGGAAAGAACACAACACAATAAAAATCATAGCAAAATAAAATGCTCCATTTAGGGGATATTGAACAATAGTAAGTTTTAAAGTACAGCCAATTAAGACAGAGTAGTTTTAGAATTTTGCCTTAGAAAAATTGGGACAATAAAGGATCTTAAATATAAATTTCTTCAGATATAAATTAGTACTAGTTGATAGTTTGAATACTATGGTAAGATGCTGCATATAGAAAGAAATGGCTCTAAAGTGAAGACTTGGAGTTTGTGTTTTATAAATCAGAATTAATTTCTCAATTGGATGAAGATCAATAATTCATGTTCTCTGGAGATGGCCTCTTGGGCTGTTAGGTACTGTAATGAGAAACTCTTCTTTAAATGTTAACTTCAATTATAATTCAAATGTCTTCAAGTTTAACTTTCTGTGTGTTTCAGACTTGTCTTCCTAGCTAGATTGTGAGCTCACTGAAGGTGGGAACTATGTTTTATTTGTGTAGTCCTTGTTGCACTAAATGTAGGGAGTCGATTTTTGCTTTTCGTTTTGTGTTTTTTCAGGAAACCCTTTAGGGTAGCCTATGTATTAAGTTTGAAACCTGGGTATGCGGACTGTCACCATAATAGAGAAGTTGTATATCTCAAAAACTTTTCCTAAACATCAGTGAAGCAGTAAACATTTCAGGTGTATGAGAAACTTGAAATTGACAGTCGCAAAAGAACATTTAGTTAAATGACTAAAATGTTGCAGTGTCCCCAGGTAAGCAGTTTTACCCTAGAGTTGGTTGTTGAAGTTCAGGATCCCGTGACATCTCAGGGAAGGTGTTAGATGCCTGTCACGATTGGTTCTGAGGAGAGGCTGGGGAGTTATCTTCTTAAAGAGGTCCATGACCCTTACATGTTACCTGTCACTCTAGGCAGTATTTAGGTGTTTGTCTCCATTTTAGCACCATTTTCATTCTTTCATCTTCTTTAGATTTAATCTCCTCTAATTTATCTTAGTTTAAGCTACACACCTGCTAAATTCTGGTCCAGAACACGGAGGGTTTCACGAAAAGACCTCGAGCTGTCGTAATTGCTTTGATGATAGACTTCATGATGCCTCATACTTCTTACGTAATTTTGCATTGTACAGTTTAATTTGGGAAGCTGAGTGCCAGAACATTTATTCATTGTGCCTGTTTGGACTTAACATCTCTTCTACCCTATGCCTACTCCGGCCACTGATGGGCTCAGGCTCCCAATGGCCCAATATACTTGGCACTTTGTGGCAAGTTTTTTGTTCTTTTTTTGGCAAGTTTTTCTTGACTTCGGTTGAAAAAGAAAGTAAAGAGCACCAAAGACTTTAAATATATGTCATTGTATTAAGGAGCTAGTTAGTACTACTGGCAGAGCAGTTGGCTCTTGAGTTTGAATCCCTGCTGTACTTCTTGCAATGTCTTTGACCTTAGTCAGTGTTTAGTCTCAAGCCTTTTCATCATTGAAGTGAGGATGATATTGTCTCTCTCAAAATGGGATAGCACATGCAAAGCAGCTAATGCAGAACCAAACATGTAAAACAATCTTAAAGATTGTATTCCTTCTTTTTATTAATGCTGTCCACATTTTCCTGAAACCTAAAAACTGACCCCTACAAAGCAGCTACTCCTAATTCTGCTAGTAGATTATTATTAGTTTGTGGTTATTGCCATGCCAATTTGCCAAGTCCTATAAAAGCATCAAGAATTATCAGCCTATCATGGGAATGGGTTCCTTAATTTGAACCAGATAAAAGGAGATCAGGGAAGCAAAGGGATTCATATAAAGTAGGATTGTCACTTAATAAAAAAAAAATTGCTTGTCATATCCTCATAGTGTTCTTCTGTATAACACTTGTCACTTTTTAAAGGACTTTCTGTTTTCTCATATTAACCTCACAATCAGAAACCATGGTACTTAAGCAAGAGAGAAAAGTTTTCTAGGATCTAAGTACAGCTGTTTAAAGACTATTTTTTTTAAACCTTGCTAGAAGTAGTTCCTCATCAGAAAACCAAGGGGGACCTCTACTGTAAGAAAATATAGTAGATGGCATTTTAGTACTTTGGTGATTTATTTGGAATGCTTTCCTGGGCACATCATTTTTACTTCCCTTGTTCTTTGTTAACTTCATTTATAAAATTGGAGGGTGGAGCATATGATATCTAAAGCCCTTTCACTTCTAAATTCTGTGGTTCTGTTTTATTTTTGTGGTTGATCATTACCTAATGGTAGCCATGTGACGAAAACCTCTCCACATCCAGTATGCAAAGATAACTGCATCTGTGATTCAGAATAGCAAGGGTATTTTAAATTTCCTTTTATACGTTTGTTTTCTATATTATAAGGATGAGATGTTTAACATATTGGGTTTTTCTTCTTCCATGCATGCCACATGCATTAAATAAATGGCAGTCGGCAGACCACAGGGCAGCTTGGGACTCCCAGCAGGCAAATCCCCACCATTTGAGAGCTCACCTTGCAGCAGACAGACATGGTGGCTCGGTACAGGTATTTTCTGATTTTTGCATGAGTGATTATTTCCCAAATTTATACAACTAACCCTTTTTTGGAACTCATGGCATGACTTCATATCCTAATGAAAAACTTGTTGCTGAACTCTCCATAATTCTCTTCCTTTGTATTTAACCAAAGAGTAAAATTAACATGGTCTAGGAAGACCACCAGGGATACTACGATTTTGCCTTTGTTCATTTTTGCAAGTATATGCAACAATATTTAAGTTAAATCATATCACAACAGGTTAGAAAAACAAACTGTATTACTTGAAATATGTGTTAAGCTTGATTTTTCAGTAATAAGTTCAGACTTTTTTAATGCTGTAAGTAATAGAACACTTTTATAACTTTTCCCTTTCATCGATCATTCCTTCTTTAAACTTCAGTCAGTTAAATAGATAGGAAATTTTTTATCCTTAGTACTCAGAAAATACTTTCTGATTAATTGCTCAAATAAACATGACCCCAGTTGTTATAATGGTATATTTTATTTCTAGAAAATACCAGATGGAGAAAATAATTTCAAGAACAAGTATTTATTAAATACTCCCCTCAATTTTCTGGCTATTTCTAAAAATTTAAAGCAGTCCTTTATTCTTTTGAAGTGTTCATTCCTCCTTCCTTCTCTGTACCCTTAGAATACTTTATCTTGCCCTCCCATGCCCCCTAAATTTTCATCTTTTATGTGAATGTAGAAAGGGGAAGGTTACCAAGTCTCTTATTTCTTTTAAAATGCTAGTTTAAGGTAATTTAAATGCTGGTTTAAAGTAATTGAGATAATAAATGTTATCTCCATCCATTTCAATTTAGAACTTCCTTTAAAAGTTTTGATTTTTTTCTCCATATATTTCCACTTGACTAATTTTCCATTATGTTTTACCATATTTGCATTTTTCTTGGTGAATATGTAGATATATTTAGTCTATTGGATCCCTGCTCTGGATTTTATTCTTTCTTGATTTGAATTCTAAAAATCAGTTCTTGATTAAATCTTACAAGTTCTCATGTTTTTCTCACCATTAAATTTTAGAGGTAATTTATGTAATCAAATATTTTTATAGGACTTTGTAGTCTGTGGACCTTTCAGTCCTGTGTAACAGAAGTATTTGATGAGGACTTAGAGGCAAGGGTGCCTGAATTGTA